TGGTTTTCAAATAAATTTAAATCTTGAAAATCAGAAGTATAAAGTTAAGTAGGATTTGGTTCTCACTGGAGCCATATCCAACTATTATTGCTTCAAGGTTTAAATCAGGCAGATTTATATCACATTTTTTTAGCACGTTGCTTATTTCATCATAAATTTTTGACGATATCCTACATTTGACAAATAGGTGCTTCATGGTCTCGTATTCCTATACACATAATAGGGACCTTAAGCTGCAGGACGGCAACGTGGGCGAAATTGAGGCGCTTCAACCTTCTATTGTATCGTCATTTTGTGTTTACCTAGCATTTTACTCAATAAGCATCCCCGTTTTAGAGTGAAATGTCGTCTTTTGGGAGCGCTTTACTTATAACGAAAATCAGCAAAGATAAGCTTGCGTAGCCGTTCTCTTTAGGACGTAAAAATAGGACATTTCACGTCTTACTTTTAGCATAAGACGGCAATGAATCACAGTATTTCGTACATTCCAACGAGTATCTATTGAATAGCGCAATTAGTGCTATTGTATGCTTGCCTTCGTCGTCGTCGTTGCCGTCTTGCAGCTTAAGGTCCCTAATGAACGTAACGGATCCTTTCAGTTTAAATTGAAAGAGATCGTTGTTCATATATATATAGTTCATTAGTAACTTATATTGAAAGCTTCGCAAATAAGTGTCTATTGTGGTTTTGTACACTAGAGTATATGAATTATTCCAATCGATATCCTCTTTTTCTATCATTGACTGCCACCYATATGAAGTTGGTGGAGACATAGTATAATATTCTACCCTATGTATTGTTATTAATGAGGTATATGGCCTTCCACATAACTTATTTTATTTATTTATAAATTACTTATTTATTTATTATTCATTCACTTATCTATTTATTTATTATCATTGTTCCTTTCTCCTTTTTCCACCTTCTTCTTCTTGCTCACTTCCTCCATACTTATCCGCTACAGCTAAACCCTAACCTGAATTACTTACAATTTCAACAACAACGTTAATTTATAGCAATTATGTTAATTGAACTATAAAACAAACATCACATCTTTTAGAAGTATAGTGAAGAAATGATAAATTTGGAAATTTGGGAAAAAAATGGAACCCACGACTTTGTCAGTACCCACGACCCACGACTTTGTACCCACGACCCACGACCAATTTTAATGCATAGAATCTCAGAATTTAATCCGAGAATACAATGAAATACACAGGTATTCGGACTCATGCAAGGGGACAGGGGGATGGGTTGTTGTGCGTAAGTATAAAGGAATGTGAGCGAGTGTCAATAGAGCACGAGGGCATAGGAAGGGAATAAGTTTCGTATGGATAATATACAAAAATTTCTCCAAGAATGTATGCAGTTCCTGGAAGCGACAAAGATCCTGTTGCTGCCTATGAATTTTATGCTGAAAAAAGGCCGGTTGAGATGAATGAAGACGACGCGCCGTTTTATCTAGCGATAAACAACTGCTCCAAACAAGGTACAGGAAAACCGTGGTTCAAGAAAAATGCAGTCGGGGTAAATAAGTTGAATGGACTAATGAAGACAATGGCAGAAAAAGCTGGTATTTCGACTACTCAACTAAATTTGGCAAACCACAGTGGACGAAAGACTATGATGCAAACTTTGACGAAGAAAAACATTCCGCCGACAGACATCATTCAACTTTCAGGCCACAAAAATTTACAAAGCGTAAATAATTACGCTATTATGTCTGAAAAACAGCAAATTGAAATGTCTCGTACACTTTGTGGCCTCACTACAAGAACAGTAAGTAAAGAAAGTAGTTCATGTAATGTCGTAGACAATCAACAAAACAATAGTTTGACAACGTTTAATTCTGCCACAAGCTCTGTTGACAGTAGACATGGCCAACAAGCATTGTCGCTGTTTTCTGGTGCCGTTATTCATGGCGGTCAGTTTAGCATTAAGATTAACAGTCTTAATCAGTCGCCAACATTATCTCAAGCGGTTGAAAGTCTCACGGCACTGAAAAGATACAAAAGAATAAAAGTGCTGAGTGATTCTGACTCGGACTAGTTAGGACTCTTACGTGTGTACTACTCGTTTTCAGTGCTTTTGCAAGTCTAGTTATCCCATATTTTAGCATGATTGACTTATAGCTAGTTTATTTTTCGTGTATTAGTCATTAGGTTATTTTTTGATTGGTTTTCACTTTAATATTGAACAAGTACATAAATCTGATCTAAGTATACTTATGTTTACAAGTTTATCACACTATTAGAGAGACATTTCTATTTCAGTTAACCAATTGTTTGAGGTTCAATAAATTTTTCTCTCAACTCCAAGTTCAAAAAATCTTTACTTGTAATATCTCAGTACTTATAAAATAAATAAATCACATCATGGTTAGTTCGCTTGTACGGATTTTATTCACTCGTTTTTATTCACTCGCTCGAAGACTCGCTCGTTCGTTTGATTCTTCACAACTCGTGAATAAAAACCGTACGCGCTCACTAACCATGAAGTAATCTCTATGTAAACAACTATAGTTTATATACTTATTTCAATAAAGTTAGTCACCTGAAAAGCAATAAAGCTGAGGCCGACAAGGATTATGGGTAGATTCGTTTTACATGCTTCAACTGCTTGTTAACTGTTGATGGACTTGCACATCTTTTACCAGTTGTAGTCTCGCCACTCCTGAGCATCCTCACTATCCTCGAGCTGCAGTTTGTATCATAAAGCTTTACATGTTTGAAATAAATTGTTTCCCATGATCCTCAGTGATCTCAGCTTTCCAGGTTTTTGGAGACTAACTTTATTGAAATAAGTATATAATACATAAGATCAGCATCAGATACCATAAGGAAATTAGTATAGGTAATAAGATGGTTTCGATTCATGATAATTTTTCTTAWCAACCATAGGTTTAATACATATGTTCCGAGCTTTCGGCCTACTCGGCCATCCTCAGGTCAAGTACGCAGTACGTCAGTGCAAGACCTCTACGTACCAGAAGTCCTATCTCATCAGGACAAATAGAATATGGAACGCTCTCGCTGATGAACTAAACCTGAATATGGACAAACTCAATTCATTTAAACGCGCCATGTTAAGTTACTACGTAACGTCACTGGACAGTTACAACTGTTACGACCCACGTACTTTCAAAACAGTTTGTTTAAAATGTAACTCTCGCAGAAGCCTCACTCCACAGGCAGCCCAAACAAGGTTCCTGTGTATGGTTTATAAGGGAATGTATGGGAGTTATGATTAAGGTCATGAAAATAAAATGTTTCACTCAAC